TCAAGAGGGACAGAAAAGCTTTGTGTAATTCTGTTCTCAGCTACGTGAGAAGGGACTCACCTGTGCTAAGGAGGGGTTTCATATCCACAGCTCCATTCCCTTTTTCTTTTGGTACACCTCTCACAGGTTGAGATCTTGCCTAATCCTTTTGTGATTCAAGTGGAATTTGTTTTTCTAGCAGGGGCTGCTCCGAGGCACAACTGCACCTACTACGATGTTGTTGACTACCTGAACGTTTCCTCTCACAGCAAGCTGCACGCACACATACTGCCCAAGACAAACTTGAAGGAGCCTGTGGAAGTGAAGATGGATTTTATGCTGGTGGCTATTCTCTCTGTGGTAAGGACCCAAAACTCCTGTCGAGTCTTTACAACCAGAAAACTGGGCTGTTGCAAGATTGGGGTCTGTGTCTGCTGCCAGCCAGGGCTGGGCCAGCAAGTCCATGAGGATGAGAATCAGCTCCTTCCACTTCTTCAGCTTGCTGCTGTTTGCAAGTGGTTTTGGAAGATCTGGAGTATTTTCTCCCACCTACTTCCAGGAAGAAGTTCAGACGAGCAGCCTGCTTTATAGCAGGCTCTAAAGACACCTGCAGAGTGCCTGAACCGGGCAGTGCATTTGCAGGGCACTGGCACGTAAATGTTAACAACAAACAACTTATGTTTTTTTCCGAGCCATTGGACCGTATGCTCCCACTCTTCAGCCCCAGGATCAAGATCCTCGAGCTCTCCTCCCGAGCCGAGTTGCCGCAATCTGTGCTGTCCGCTGCAAGAGCAACAGGGGAGAACCGCTGGGCTCTGCATTGGATGGACCTACGAAAATCAGCTAAATATCTTCTCTTTTGTTTCTCCAGGTTGAAAAGCTCCAGACAGTCACTTTTTACTTCGTGTTGAACCAGGTGGGTCCCTCAAGAGCGTTTCTCTCCTGTGACGCCCAGCACGACGGCCGGTGCTGAGCCCGGCACTCATTTCTCTCCTGCAACTTCTTCCCCCAGGAGTGGAAAAACCCTTTTGTTACCTGGGACCCGCAGGATTTCTGTAACATTTCCAAAATCGTTCTGCCCATGGATGCATATTGGTCTCCCCCCCTCTTCATTTTAGAGCGGTAGGTTCACTTTTCATTTTTATCCACTGGCTTAAGAGAAATAGAACGAACGCAAACTGTTGGTATTATTGTAGGAAACGGGATAAACTCATACGGTTAAAAGTTGTTCCCATGAGCTCTCTGTAACCAAGAACCTCGTAATTTAGATTAATAGCGACCACAGTTTATACAAAGCACTTTGTGGCTCCGTAATACTGTAACAGCTCCAGAAATGTCCCACCTGGGCTGTAGTTAAAGCCGAGGAAGCAGCAGAGACCAGCAATGTTGTGGAATGAAATGCCCCTTCGCAGTTTGCTGTAAGACACAGGACAGAGCCCTTGTGGGTCTGACAGAGGTGGGCACCGCCGCCGGCTCTTCGGCTGGGGGGGAAGGAGGGGGAGGCAGCTCTGCAGCACAGCAGAGCCAGCAGCGAACCCCTGCCCCAGGCGAGTGGGAAGCAGAGGGGAGGGAGGAAGGAGTTCCCCCTGGAGGTGCAGAGCTACGAGTTCCCCCTGGAGGTGCAGAGCTACTACAAACCTTACTCCAGAGGCACTCACCAGCCCCAGGTTTATTCTCCTCATCGCTGCGTCCCATGGCTGGGTGACGGCGCAGAGTCCTCCCGAAAGGATGCTCAGAGCTCAGGCTGTTGTGGGACCGAGGAGCGTTGGAGCTCGGTCGCTCTCCACTTTTGTTTCCTCCAGAGTGAACGGACTAAACTCGAACCTGGAATACCTGGCCATCACGCACAACGGCGGCTTCAACTCCACCCAGCCCTTCCAGGTCACCTTAACGTGCAGCTTGATGATCCTCAAGTTTCCCTTTGACACCCAGACATGCAACTTGAGCATAGCTTCCTTCCTCTACCCAGGTACAGCAGCAAGCTGGGCTACATTTGCAGATGTAGGAATAGATGAGAGGGACCCTGGCTAACTCCTGGGTTCCCTTAGCAGCACCACACACTCACACTGGGTTAGCAGGGTTGAGGTCATGTAATACCAGGGAAAATGAGCTAAAACTCTGCCATTCTGGTTTGGCACGTTTCCCAGCGACTTCTCTGCACGAACGTTCTGTGGCAAGTTTCCCCCAGGATTGGTCTCTACAAACAGAGACTAGGAGGCTTCCTGCAACAAGGCTGCTTGTCCACATACAATTTTGCAGGACTGGTCTTTAAACGTACCTGAAAGCCGTGGAAACAAGAGGAAATTAAGGACAGTTTCAGGGATCCAAACTGCAGACAGAGCTCATCCCAACAGGAGGGGCTGAAACACAAGCAGAGGTGACACAAACCCCTCCAGCTCTCATCTGCAAAGGGCAACTGTCCTAAATTCAACAGAGATTGCCCCTCTGATCCACATTCCCAGAGGCCCCGCCAAGTCTCTTCACCAACAATCTTTTTAACTTCTCCCTGATGGGCTAAGAAACCCCAGCAGTGCAAGAAACATTGCCTTTCCCCATCTGCAAGCACCTTTGTTTGGGAGGGAAAGGGAGAGGAAATAATTGACCCCTAATACACACCTAAATTCTTCAACTTCTCTCCTCCCATGCCTCCTGCCCAAGCAGTAGCAGACCTTGTCATGAAGACGAGACGGACGACAGCTGAGATGATGAAAACCAGCCAGAGTTACTTCCTAACTGATGGAGAATGGAAGTTCACCAACCTGAGCATCATTGAATACACAGAAGAGCTGGATGATGACAAATTTTCTGTGGTCACCTATGTGGTACGGCAGCACCTTCACATTGTATTGCACTGATTTGCCACAAAACCCAGTAATTTTCTGCATTACGGAACAAGCATTTGCTCGACACAGTAAGTTACCTCCTGCTCACCTACATTTTGTCCATCTCCTTCAACAGATTTCCATGGAGAGACGACCCACTCTGTACGTTTTGAACCTGATCCTCCCAACGTGCGCCATGTATATGCTGGATATGGCTGTGTTGTTCGGACCCAGCTCTCTCGAGGAGAAAATCAGCTTCCAGATTGCCATCATCCTTGGCAGCTCCATGTTAGCTGTGATTCTCAACGACATCCTCCCGACTTCCTCCAACAAACCACCCGTAATAGGTACCCATCTTTATTGAACAAAAACTAACTGATTTTTTACACAGGTACCAACCCCAAGGAAGGTCTTTGGGTGTTCATGAACACCGAAGGCATGAGCAGCTAAGCTTTACCAGCTTGCTGGTCACAAATGTCCCCCCCTTCCCCACCAGGCAACTGAACGCAGACAGGATTACATTCGAGAAAATGATGCCGATCACCAAGGGCTTGCTTTGTGTTTGTGTTGTTCTGCAGTGGTGTTCTTCTTAGGCACCTTCCTGCTCATGATCATGGCCGTGCTGGACACCTTCTTCCTCTTGCACCAGCAGCACAAATCCCTACGCTTAGAAACGGTTCTCAGAAGCTTCCAGCAAGGTAAAGCCACCCATAACCTCCTCAACCAGTCGGTTCGGTGCCGTTTACTGCGGGATCGTTTGAGCCAGGGCGGGTTTCCTCAGGGCAACCAGTGCCCCAGGCAGGATCAGTCACAGGGGTCACCTGCCAACCCCCCCTACGCTGACACGTGCCATTGGCTCTTTGCAGACGTGCCCGCCGAGCTGGTGGCGAGAGCCCTGAGCAACCAGAGCACCAAACACCTCGCCAAGGAAGGCGCCCAACTGCGGAACCTTCCGGCGAAGGCCCAGGAGAAAGGGCAGCCGGCCAAGCCCTGCGGGCAACCGCAGGAGCACGACGCGTTTCTGCCCGTTCTGGAGAAGGTGCTTCTCTACAGTCACTTCTTCCTGTCCCTGGGTTTTTTTGCTATTATTTTCATAAAATGGAGCAGCTAGAGGCCACCTCTGCGCTGTGCAAGTCCCGTTGTTCCCCATCGTGTTGCTTCTAACCCCTCCACTGTAATGGGGTTTTTTTCCTGCTTGATTCATAGAGCTGCAGTTGTTTCAGTTGCCTCCACGAAAAATAATTAATATTAAAAAGTCAAACCTACAGGGCAGGAGATCTGCATGCTTAGTGCTCTGAACTCTAGCTCAGTAGAACTACCTATGTTTTTAAGTATTCTACGGGCTAGCAAGGTCTTTGAATAAAACAGTTGTGACACCTGGGGACAATACCTTCCTTCTATGCGCCTGTAATTCTTAACACAAACACGACCAACAGAAAAGGGAGTTTATGCTCTTCTTTTCTTATGGAGGCGTTTCCACTTTGGGGAAAGGTGTTCGATAATTCCACCTCCGATAGTTAAATAAAACAGCGCAAGCCTGAAGCGTTTGTGCTGTTGTTTCGGTGAGTTTCAGCGAGATCCACATCGTTCAGAAACCCAGGACAGAGAGACCAGGATCCCCAGGATTAAAGGGGTGATACTTGTGAGGTTTAAAAAACATAACAAAACAAAACTGGGGGGGTTTAAGGGTATCTCAACACATCTACACTCCTTCAATCCCTTTTGCAACTGGCTGCACCTAAACCATCGCAGCCAACCGAGACAACAGCCCGAGGCCTCTGCCCGTAGAGCTACTGAGACGTCTCCCACTGCGTGGCAGATCACTACCAAAACCCCTCCAGCCCCTCAGAAGGCTTTGTACGTTCAATTTCGAAGCAACTACTTGCCTGCGACGGCAGAACTACATCCCCTGCACCACGTGGTTACACAGAGGGACAGTTACGTTACAGAAGATGCAGTAAGACTCAGTTTGATCAAAACTTCCAGCTGGGATCTTGGTCCTTGTACAGAAACAAGCTCACAGGTAGAAAAGACAAAACCCCAGAAAACCAGGCTGTTTGGAAGTCAGTGCATTGCTCCCCGTGTCTCAAAACCTTGCAACCTCATGCCTAAGGTCTAAGCCACGGACAGGAAGGAAAGCACTTTATTCAGAAGATCACAGAGTCTGACAGTCGCTAGACAAACTGCTTCCAGACCAGTTTACAGATCAGCAATGGGTTTGTGGGGCCAGTACGGATACTTCTCCTTGTCCAGTCTGGTCTCGGGGAAGGCTTCATGCAGGTCTTCACACGTCATCTGCTCAAAGGGAATCATGCTTCTGAGCTTCTGAAGCTTGAGGTGGGAACAGAGACAAACGTGTCACTTGTCAGCAGGCAAGAGCAAAGCCCACACCAGTAAGAACCAGGCTGGGTTAAAGAGAATAATCACTAAGCGAAGTCCAGACTTACCTGTTGCTCGTACTGGGCAACCCGAGCTTTGGAAGCCTGCACGTACTCAGCAGTGCTCTTCGCCTGCAGGAGGGCAGAGGACGGGGTGAATATGGTTAGGACAAAGACAGCGACGTAGAGTGAACCTGCAACCCCAGGCTTTCAATTAAAACTCATCATCATTACACCAGGTAAGCGGACAGAACCTTGATCAAACCCCAAACAGCCAAACCGTCCCACGTGCAGAGATCCTCTCGCTCAGCCAAAGGGCAGACGCAGGGGTGAAGACCAGCGCCACGCCGCAGCTCAGGCTGCCCTGCCTGCGCAGACACCCCCACACGGAACATCCCTTCCCTCCGACCCCTTCCCATCCCCACAGAAGTCAGAGACAACCCCAGCATCAGGGAACAGTTTAAACACTCACAGCTTCCTTCTCTTGGGCATCAATTTTGGCAGTTTGGGTATCCACTGGCTCAGGAATCTTTAGGGCGCTGAACTGCAAACCGAAAGAGAAAAATGGTTTTACAGGGTTGGTTTGATTGCAATAATCCTTCCCACCGAGGTCATTTCCCTAGAGCAGGGAGCGTTCCTTCCTAGGACAGGCCCACAAGTGTGTCAGTGAACGAGCCTTCTAAAACTGATTGCTGCAGCTTGACTGTGCCCTTCACAAGCAGCACTGCTCCCCTGCGAGCTCAAAGCCATCTATTCCGTCCTGCACACCACCACAGGACCCAGAAAGCTACACACATCCATCACAGCACCGCAGAGAGCAAAGCACAGCGAGAAAGTCTCATACCAAAGACCTAGTGTATCGCAGACACTCCCCCAAAACAAAGTTCCCAGATCCGAGGCCAGTGGGTCCTCCCAGTCTCGGGAGGACAATTTTCACAGTCCCAGTGACACCACCCCTCGTGCTTTCCAGTTCCTGCTTACAAAGAGAACGGCAACCCCGCAGGCATCCGTCAGCTCGACACGTTTCACAGCGTGCAGAGCCCCACTCACCACGACCTCCCAGTCAGTCAGCTGGAGAAACACTTACAACGTTCGCTTCAGGAGAGGCACTGCCCGAATACACTCCTGCAGCCCAAACAACTGACCAAATTTTCTCTCACCACCTTCCTCACCGCACAGTGCCACAGGTTTCCTCCCAAAAGATGGTGCTGATCTGCAGGAGGTGAAGCTGGGGCACCTGCCAGCCAAAACCAAGCCCCCCTGCCAATTCTTGTGTTTTCCTCTCGCCACCAAAGACATTCCCCATTGAAACCTCCAAAGAGCAACACCCAGCTGACAGAGGGACTGACCTTCTTCTGGAAGTCATCCACCATGCCAGCCTTAGCAACAGCAGCCTTGTAGTAAGCCCAGTCGATGGCCGGGGGTTTCTCCGGCAGGGCGGCCAGCCTGAGGGGACAGAGGACACCAGTCACAGCCCGCACCACGAGTCACCCGGCGCTGCCGTTTGCTCTCTGCCACAGGGACATTCCAGAGGCTCTGCAGAGCCTGCCAAGTTTGGGGTAAAACTTTTCGGGTCTGTCTGTAGCAAGCAGCGACGGAGCGGTCCTGCACGTCCCTCTGCCCGTGAAACAGACCTCTCCCCACAGACAAGGAGTTCAGCCTTGTGACGGGTTTGTGTGTGCAGGGCAAGGTTTTGGTAGTG